AAAAATACGGTACATACTTGCAGAGACATTGGGGATATGAATCAGTTTAAGGTTTTGTAAAATAAACAACTGGCATGAGGCTTGAATATATTATTGTATATAAAGATGTAGAATAATAGCGGTATATATTTTTGATGGCATAAACAGTTGCCGGGGGAAGTCAGTAGTGTATGTTTTTTTGTTTAATAGTTTAGTTGTTTTTGTTTAGTTAGTGTTTGATTGTTATCATTGTTTGTATTTTAGATATATCTTCACAAAGTGTTTGTGATTATGTTTATGTTTAATTAAAATGGTTTTTAAAATGTCAGTTTTGGGGTGGAAAGAGTGTAGGGGAGAGTTGGCACAGATAACAAAGGATAAATATGAGCTATTGCATTTACCTGTACTTAATTGTTATTTCTGTTGGGAATAAGGCCAGTGGGTAAAGCCAAAGGCTACGTGGGAAAATATGGGTCTGGAAAAGGATGATCTGAAGAAACAGGATGGTGGTACATTGTAAAAGTGGTAAATGATATTGGTGTCAGAGTCCTGGCTGAGCATGATGGGTGTTTTAATCCAACATGTCTGGAGGCACTAGGGTGGGGAAGGTTGCATTAATGAGAGAAACAATCAAGTAAGGCATGGAAATACCCTTCAGAATCAAGTATAGGCATGTGTGGTTCAGGTAAGAAACATGTAAATATTCAGAGGAGAGTCCAAATAATATATTTTTCTTCTCTAGGAAGATATGTTTGTTAGGAAGGGAGATTGTCTTGTGAAGCTGATCTGCTGCTCAGATACAGAACATGAAGACACAAATGTCCTGGATTGGAAAGTGCCCAAGATAAAACAATATCCATTCTGCAGATACCAAAGTCGACTGCACACTAATAAATCATTGTCAACACAAGTAGAGTCCTGAATCTTTGTTTCAAAATTTCAAAATGCTGATGGAAGCAAATGGCCTGCATCTGTTTTCTCCCCAAAAGTACAAAGTCTGGTTTGCTATTCACATATTCTCCTATGTTAAGTTGATGTAAAACACTGATGGGTGTTCCTGGGAGTCAATTGCATTTATCATAAAGGTTGGAAAAAATACTTTTGAATTCCCCAGAATCAGCATTTAACATATAAAAAAATTCAAATTGTGTACTGAAAGCCATCTCCTCTGTACAGTAGGGGGTAAACAGGACAGCTAAAGGCTCTTACATATAGACTCTGTTTATGGAAAACATGACAGAGATCCACTGTAATGCTGCTGGAGTGAAAAGCCCTGCTGGTGTACTTACATGGGATCTCAAGCTTGGAAGGAGGTTCCAGTCCTGACATTACAAAAGAGATGTTTGGGACACCATATTTTGGCAAGCTGTCTACATGTTGAGGGAAATAGACATCTGCAGAGCTTGGGGGTAGGAGTGGAGCTGTGCTCTAGTACCTAACTGCCATGTAAGTCAGCCTGTGGCACCATATGGCCAACGAAATGGAGAACCAAGAAGTGAACAACTTGTGCTTCCTTAGACAAATTTTGGAAATGTACACCAGCTTCAACAACAGAGAGTTGCATGGTCACACTGTCACATTTGGATCCCAGATAATATATACAAACAGAGGATGTGGGAACAGTGCTTCATACCTTTTGAAAGAGTCTTCAGTAGAGTCGCTGAATGGCTCACATAAATCCCCTAAAGGAGTGGTGGGGAAGTGTAATCCATAATTCACAAGTGGCCTTCAAACCCCACATTTGCACCCAAATGTCATTTTTGACAGTGCCAAATCACCTGGAAATGGATGAAAGCACCTTCCTCTTCCATACCTGCCTTTCAGCCATAGTGTTAGCCAATATGACACCTGGAAGTGACACAGTGTCATTTCTGGCTGATACATGCTGAAAAAAGAGACATTTGTAAGCCTGGATAGGCAGATGTGGGTTCTTGCCCCTGTGGAATTGCCCACCCCTGCCCCCCTAGTTTGTTGTCAAACTAGAGCTTGGCACAAGATCCCTGAAGGCTGAGGGCATGGCCTTTGTGGAAAACGAAATATCCAGCATGCTTTCCCCAGTGGTAGTTGTTTAGTATCACTTGCATCTAAAATGCTCCATTAACTATCAAAGTGGTAGAAATGCTGAAAATGTAAAATGCTTCAAGCCACAGCAGCACTTCCCTGCTGCTCCCAACATCTCTGGCTGGCTGGTTTTAGGAGGACTCTTTTGGTAACAAAGTTGGAAGTCGAAAACTCATAATGCCCCTGAG